AAGAGAGAGTTGTCTCGAATTATAGTTTCAAAAATCCTCTCCATTGTATAGTTTTGTTTTCCTTCTTGGGGACTCTAAACACACGTGTGTTAGATCTCCTCGGCCTATTTGTTCTCTTGAATATTTTGTGAGTTCTTTTTTCATTACTTTGCAGTTTTCACATCTTCTATTTATTTAAAGAGATTATCCATTATGTTTATGCATTCTTGTGTTCCTTCTAGTTGACTCTTCATTTCCAAGATGAATTTTTCTTTCATTTCTCCTTTGTGGAAGTTTTGCTTCTCCTAAGTCACATCCTAATCACCTAATTTGTGGATTTTCATGATTCTAACTTGTTTTTTTATCCATTGCTTTTATAACCTTGTTTTAGTTCATTTAAAAATGTTACTAGGGGCTGAGGCTATAGTTCAGTGGTGGAGCACTTTTCTAACATGAGCAAAGCTCTGGGTTCRATCCCCAGCATTAAGAAAAATAAATAAATAAAATAAACACATTGCATTACAATTTGCATGGCTTCTTAATGTGTTTTCATTCTCTATAAGGATGTTTTTCTATTTCCTTATTCTCTATGTTTTAATTCCTTATAATAACTCCACATAGAAATTGACTATCTTTTTTTATGTTGCTCATTATTAAGAGAAACAAGTTTTCCTGTTTTGGGGAGGGGAAGAGCTGTGAGCAGGACAGCATTACTAGTTTCACATCATCGGGATCATTTTTCATTTCACAGTGATGGAGAATATATCCTTGCTGCTCTGTCCTGTTCCTCTTTTTTTTTAAAAAAAAAAAATCTGGACTTTCTTACTCTTTTATCCCAGTGTTTCTGCTCTGCTCAATTTAGATGCAATTGCCAGTCATTCCTCCCAAGAGCCAAGTGTTGTAGTTTTCAGTATTCATGGGACTCAGCTACTGCTACAGAGAGTGACAACTKTACCCACACCATCAAACCTCCTGGAGTTGTGGTCTTGTTCACAAGTTGTGGGTTTGTCCCAGTCTGTTCATTTTGGAGTCAGTGTGGATATCTTGTCACCTCATATTACTGCATAGATGTCTTTTTTTATTTTTAATACTCATTGCTCAGTTATTATAGGAAGCTTCAGAAACTTTGCAATTACCATCTTTCAAGAATTCCTCTAGTTCTTGGGGAAAAAAAATTCTTTAATTTTGTAATTGACTAAGGTATAAGATGGACACAGATGGAATCAGAGAAGTCGAGCATTAGGACTATGTTTTTGAAGTTCCCTGAAATTTTGTGAGCAAGCCAATTGTTTTTTATCTGGAACTTAACATGCACACAACTTCTTTGAACCAACTATATGGTTAGAGCTCAATGGTAATATGGTAGAGGGACTTTGGGATTAGACAGATCTGGATTCAAATCCCTCTTCTGCCACTCACTGCATATTAATGAATTCCTCTAAGGTTTTTCCTTATCTATAACATGGATAATTAGGACTTGAAAGGTAATTAGGATTACCCTTTCTGGATAATTAGGATTAAATTGTGTTGAATATTTGGAGATTAATAAAATCATGTTTATAATTTATGATTTGATTACATCCTAATGCATAGAAACATGATAAGTGCAGACTGTGGTTGAAAATATAATTTCTTTGTGTTACATGAGAAGCTTTATTTGTAGAATTCTAAAAAAATAGCAATTAAGTATTTTTCAAATAATTGTGTGAATACATCAGAATTTGGAAGTAGAAATTGTATTTAAATTTGGCACTGAGCACTAGGCCACCAGTATTGCCCACATCTGTTCACACAGCAATCAGGAGAGGCAATATGTTGTTCTTACATTTGCATATCACCTGGCGTGGGGTCCTACCTTCACTACTTACTAGCAGCTCAGTTTGGCTTGTTATGCCTGCAGTGAAAGCTTCCTGTTATAGTGGTGAGTTTGCAATCAAATTTGACAAACGTTAATTGAGCACGTATTGACGACTAGAAGCTGGCATAGTCACTAGGCATACAATGATGGACAAMACAAAGAGTCCCTGCCCTCCTAGAACTTACAGTTCAAGGTCAAAGGAAAATGATKAAGCTATGGCTACGAAGAGTGGTCATTTCTATAAAACAGAAAAATCAGCATTATAGGAGGATCTGCTTGACTCAGATTTGAAGTTTAGGAGACAGTCCCAGGAAAAAAATGATTCCTCAGTTGATAGCTGAAGATGTGTAGGAATTCCCAAACCAAGAAGGGAGTCAAAACAACATGTGCAAAGGTGTGGAGGCATGTGCAAGCAGCAGGTTTAAGGGCACGAAACCTGGAGGACTTAATGCATAAAGCAGTGTTCCCAGCGCTGGCTCAAGTTCAGGCTCACCAGGAGAGCTTTTACAAAGACTCATTTTTATAGGCCCCACCCAGACTTAATGAATCACATTCTCAGGGAATGAGTCCCAAGGCAGTGATTATAAGTCATGTGGGGAACTATTAGAGAGGGGCCATCAAGGCAGGAAAGCTAAGCCSGGGCACAGCATGAAGGGCATGTAAACTGTGTGTCAGGTTCGAATTTTGTCCTAAGGGCTGGGAAGACTGTGGGAGAATTTGGGGGCATGAGGATGAGACAACTCAATTATTGGTTCATAAAAATCCCTAAGTTGAGTAAGACACAGTTCCTGCAATCTAGTTTATGAAGTTCAACATCTGTGAAACCTCAATGAAAAAAAAAAATCTAAAATGGAAATATTGATACCTACTTGGCCAGGTGATGGTGAGGCTTAACTGGGGTAATTTATGTGAAATACTTTCAAATGCCTTTATGCACGTATGACATACATTTGAGATTCAAAAGATGCTAATTTCTATTATGTAAGAAAGTCATGGGGCCAAATAATTGGTGGACATTAGAGACCCTCATTTATACAGTTTCTCAGTGGGATGTGGGGGTTTGTGTTCAAACATCTGTTTCCAAGGTCCTGTGACGTTCTTTTCCTTTGCCCATACCTGGAACACCAGGACACAGCTCATTCTGATCACATTTCCTCATTCTTTTATAATCATTGTTTCAGAGTCACAATTTTTATGCCAGTGAATTCCAAATCCATATTTCTGAGCTCCAAACCCATATTGTCCTCCAATTCCTGCATATGTCCATTTAAATGTCCGTGGTCACTTTATTCAAATTAAGTCTTCTCTTCCCAAATCTCACCCTTCTCCACCCCCSAAAACAAAACAAAAACTGTTTTTCCAACATCGGCACCACTGGGTCAACCCAGAAACATGGGAGTCATCAATCACTTTGATCTTCTCCCATGAGGCTTCCCCAATCCACACCTTTCTCTGCAGACTTTGATCATCCCCCTCCTCTACTCTATCGCCAACCTGTTGTCTGGACTCGTGAAATAGCCTATGACTTCCTAACCTCATTCTTTGTCCCCACCCCAACTCTGCATCCATAATCCTGAGAGATTTCCTAGAGTACAAGTGTAGTACCTCCCATACTTAAGCCTCTTCTGTGACTTTCAAATGCCTTTAAATGAACTCCAAACTCCACCAAGTCTTTATCAGCTCCTTCAAGATGTCACCTCTTCAGTCTCATTTTCTCCCAAGCTCCTTTTCTCATTTTAGGCTATAACCATTCTGAACTGGGGTGTGTGGGGGGGAACCACCTTCTCTCTCATGAATCTGTGTCTTGTGAAGTGTCATCCATCCATAACCCCCTTCATATGGAAGGCCCTTAGGCTTTAACTGACAGAGATCCTCTTGGGGAGACAATCCTTGAATCTTTACAAAAGCTGAAATCCCCTGTGTGTATTCATAACACCTTTACCTGCTCCCCCCAAGGGCTACTCATTACACATGTGATTTCTCAGTATCAATCTTCCCCATCCATTGTACCCAACAGAATGGCGAGAGAAGAGAGAGAGAGAGAGAGAGAGAGAGAGAATATATATAATCTCCATGTTACTGATGAATTCTTGCTAAAATTTATTTGTAACCCCCACACCAATATTCAGGGTGTTTTTACAGTCATTCTCTGACCTGTGCAGAAAGTTGGAAACTTGGTGTTGTCTGACGTGCATGTTCCAGGCATGAATAAGATAATGTTTTGCCTTCTTGTTTCAGCCCTCATATTGTCAACAAGTATCCATTTCTGGTCTTTGAGCCACATTTTTCATACTTTTGTATATATTGTTAGTTATTTCAAGGCTTAAAAATGGTCTAGTACTGCAGTGCTGCCTAGGGTTCTTTGTGGTTGTTTTTAATCCTGGAGTTTGAACCCAGGGCTTCCAACCTGCTGGGCAAGCACCTCACCACTAGACTCCATCCCTAGGCTCTAACTAGGGCTTTAAAAGTTTTAGCTGTATGTCACAGGGGAGTGTACTTTGACATACTGACGTGGAGTCTCACTTGTTCTAATTAGGATCCCATTTTTGTGGTTGTACATTTTGTGGAGTTTCACTGGTTGTGACGTCTTTGATGTGCCTTACGGAGAAAATTTGTCCATTGGGTGAGCTTCCTTGCATGAGTTACAGCACTGTTGGCCTTCAGTTCAAGGCTCATGATTTAAGAATCTATATGAAATTAGGTGTTTTCAAAACAGAACCATGTAAACAAGATCATATATTCACAAAATGATGAAATATTGTGTCCAGAGCCTTGCAAGGACCCAACCCTGTGTTACCCCTAACAGCAGTAGTTAACTGTTGGCTCATTCATTGTTTGCAGTGGCTTCAAAGAACAAAACAACTGTATTTTATTAACTCTGTGTCCTTAGTAGATCACACAGTGACTCTCACAAAATATTTTGTGTGTGTATATTGTATATATATATTCATACATGTATATTCATATTACATATATGCACATATACTTTACACAGACATACATAGAAATTATATATAATATAAAAATTAATTAAACTTAATTTGTCTTTCATCCCAAAGGTGATACCTCACAGATTTTTTTTTTTTTAACTTTCTACCTTTGGAAAAAGATCTTAAATATAGGTTATTTTTTGATACCACCTTTATTTTTTATTTTTGTCTAGGATGCTGGAGAAATGGTTCGTTCCTTTGTTGGTGGTTTGGAACTTATTGTCAATTTACTGAAATCAGATAACAAAGAAGTTTTGGTGAGCATATGTGCTGCTATTACCAATATAGCAAAAGATCAAGAAAACTTAGCTGTTATTACAGATCATGGGGTTGTTCCTTTATTATCCAAGCTGGCAAATACAGTAAGTAGCACATCTTTTTTATTTTTAATATTTATTGTCAGATCGTGAGTTTAAAGCCCAGAGACCTGAATTCATGGTTCATATCCATCGCTTATGTAGTATGCGATTTTCTTAACACTTAATTTTTCTGAAACCTAGATATGCAAAAGTATATTTTGWAATGATAAAATGTTAATATGCAGGCTCCTGTAGAATGGAGGCTATTTTTTTTAAAAATGTTTTTTAGTTGTTGTTGGACCTTTATTTAATTGATAAATTTACCTATATGTGGTGTTGAGAATCGAACCCAGTTCCTCACACAGGCCAGGTGCGAGATCTACCACTGAGCCACAACTTCATCCTAAGAGGCTGTTTTCTATTTGTCACTGGCAAGTGAAGTGGTGGCAAATAGCAGTGCTACTATGTAAGTGTTACCTATTCACTGCCACTATCATCATTTTTATTGTTCACGCCAACATTAGAAGTTGAGTGGCACCTCCTCCGCTTAGCCAGCTTGGATTGGTAGCATTCTTAAGCTAGAAGTTGTTGGCAACCACGGTATTGTTTACCTAAAGCTGTGCCAGATAGAATAGGCAGCCTTGAGGGACAATGACTTCATCTTAACCAGAGGTATTCAAGCATAGCCTGGACTGCCACTTGGCAGAAAAGTCATAGAGCAGATATTCAAACACTGGAACAATACCTGGTATGGGATACTTTGAGTTCCTAAGAGAATCTGCTAGATTGTTAAGTTCACCAAGTTGTTGCCTGAGTCAGGAGAATGGTACAATTAAACAGAGACCATGTCCAATTCAGTTATGTTTTACCTGTAGAAGGTAATTACATACAAAAAGGATCCAATCTGCACAAGGTATACAGAAAGAAAAATGGAGGACCCCAATTATGTTATCATATTTGCTACACTGTCTTCATCCCCTTGGGGCCCAAGGTGTGTTACCAAGATGTAGAAGTATTCCTAAGGTGAAGAAGAATTAATCCGTTTATCCCAGCTATGTGGGGTATTCCTTGAAGAATATCCAGTTTTCTATAAAATCCAGTTTGTACAAAGACAACTCAGAATTGAACCTTGGTCATTCGTGACCCACCACAATACTAGCTCCTTCAAAACACCTCCTAAGTAGCCAGCTACCACATCCCTCTAAACTCATTTGCATCTTAGTGGCCATAAGCATAAAGGGCATACATGCGATCACACAGGGTGATTACAATGCACATTTCTTAAGTTGGTTTTCTWTGTGCAGAATAATGATAAATTGAGGCGTCATCTGGCAGAGGCTGTCTCGCGTTGCTGTATGTGGGGCAGAAACAGAGTGGCCTTTGGCGAGCACAGAGCAGTGGCTCCTTTGGTGCGCTACCTGAAATCGAATGACACCAATGTGCACTGAGCAACAGCTCAGGCCTTGTACCAACTCTCAGAAGATGCAGATAACTGCATCACCATGCATGAGAATGGCGCAGTAAAGGTACAGTTGAATGACTTCATGGTTTAGTCCAAATGTGGTAAATGCAGGTTGGAAAGAAGCTGAAGGGACATGAAGCTTTTCTTGGATGCACAAAAGTGCTTGGACCATAGCTATATTTGGAGCCATGTGTTAACATGGTTTTGTGCTGCAGAAAAGTTGTAGGGAATACAAAATTTTTCTAAATCAAAGCATATAAATGTACTTCATAAAATAATTAATCATTCTATAATTTGAATTAGGTTAAATAAAATGTATAGGACATGAACAATCATTAGTATTCATAATTCTATTTGATATATTGTTTGTTTAGCAAGTACTTAAAAAAATAATAGGCACATGCAGAGACACCAACTAAACAGCAAAAGAAATGACTGAAATTGTTGTTAGACTAAAGCTTAAAAGTCTTTACTATAACAACAAAGGATCAACTCAAAGACAGTGTTGTGTTTTAAATCTTTGCGTCAAACATTTTTGCCTTTAACCAATATACAGTTAGAAGAATTTCTGCATGTAGACTTTAGTGAAGCTCCACATTGGAAACTACCTAGAATATTTTGATGGTAATAAGTACAAAAATACTTAGAGTACCCAAACAGCTTACATGCATCAGAAAAAAACTGATTAAAAAATTAAAATATCAATAGCTTGTTTCCTTGTACAATATAGTTTTTAGTGTTTATTACCTTAATTTGACACCAACGACAACCAGACACATTCACACTTTGAAATGTTATGTCCTGAGTTGATATTTTAGATAAGATTTTAAATTTCCAGTTATTCATATCTAGTCAAATCTAGATATGCTAAATATGAAACATCTAAGATGAATAATGCTCTTAAAATGCCAATTGGTAATTTTTTAGGCAATTATTTTAATTCATCCTTCAAACTTATTATAGTTGAAAGATGTGATGTTAATTTTTCTGAAATRAAACCCAAATTACATTTAAATATATCATTCTTTCCATTATAAACCTGTTTGTATGACTTATAAGTTAGGCTTATGTACTTCGTCAAGCAAAAATCTGGCATAAAAAGCACCTTTTAGACTAAGGAGCAATTTTAAAAAGTAAATTATAAAAAAAAAATTGGAATGTTAACTTCTAGTTACTAAAGAATAATGAAAACATTGTCACTTCTATATGACTATATTCATACTTCAAAAAGAAGTGATTTCTAATTTAAAATTATACATTCTGTTATTGAACATGATTGGCACAGTCTAAGAYGCAGTAAGCATACAGCCTTTACAAAAACAAAACGGCAAAAGTTAAGTAGCCTGGTAAAGTGTCTGACACATAGCACATACTTAGAGAATTCCCAGTTAGTTTAAGAAGATCATTTCTAGATGGCTCAGAAAGTTTTCAGATTTCATAAGGTTTGCATGGTCATTAGGATGATCATTAGATGCCAGGCATCTATGCCACCCTCAAGGAGTTCTTCTAATGCAAATCGACAGATAATCCAGAATCTCTTTTGTGTAAAGTGTTGTAACTGTGTTCACCCACCCACACAGCTTATTTTATTAGAAAATGAAGGAAATAAGAATGATGGAGGTGTGTAGACATTAAAGAGASAGCAAAGAAGGTGCTTCTGCTGTGCACAGAGCCTTTCCCAGATCATCTTTGGTGATCAAGGGGTCTGTCTCATCTATTTGCATTCCTAACTACTGTTATGTCTGTGGGAGGATAACTGTAAATAATAGGACTTTTTTTTTTTTTTTTTTGGCAAGGCCATCTGCAATGATACAGAGGCAGGCCTTGCTTTGGAGCGTTATCGGCATGAATGTATGTTGTGGAGGTGACCTGTCCCCTTTTTTCTCAACCTGCTCTAAGCCCCAGACCTCACAGGGCTGTGTGGGAAGCCTATTGCTTCCCTTTTCTGGTTATATTTAAGGAGAAAAAAAAATATGTGAATGTGGTGTACTGGGATTAGTAGAATAAACAGGATTTGTTAGTTGCTTGGATATGGGTAATAAAAGAAAGAGAGCAAATGACTCCAAACTTCAGGCTAAATGAAGAATAATCCATTCTACAATAATGCAAGAAAAATGTTCTGCAAATTAGGGTGACTCACTTACCTACAGTGAATATGTCTCCAGTGTGCAATTGTTTTTTCTGACTTTGAATGCATAATCATTCACTCTTGGCAGATTCCAGGCTCTTTTGTTCCTAATTGCTACTGCCCCTCTCTGGTCAAATGCTTATTGTGTTATTTTCCACTCCTGCAGACTTTCCTGCTGCAGCTGACATGACAAATGTTGACAGAATCTTCTGCAATTACCAGGCTCTGTCAGTTACCTGTCACCCTRTTCATAAGTAAATCATTCTAGGGTTAGCGCCTTTGTCCTACAGTTTCCTCAACAGTAACAGCTGATGTTATGCAATCTATCTCTCATGACTACTGATATTTTTGCTGTAGTAACAGTGAAGGTGCAGGCTTGAGCGGCTACAATACCGTGAGTTCAGCTTTTCATCTGTTCAATTTGAATGGCCCATTTGAATTTTAGGTGTAGAGCAGGGCTGTCCAGTAGAAATGCCATGTACATAATATTAAATTTTCTAATAGTCATAATTTAGCAAAACATAAAAATAAATGGATAAAATTAGTAATATATTTTATTTAGCTCAATTTATCCAAAATATTATTATTTCAACATGTGATCAATATAAAATTACTATTTTGTTTATACTTTTTTTGGTACTAAGTCTTCAAAATCCAATTTGTGTTTTATAGTACATTGATTTTGGACTAGCCATGTTTCAAAATAATTAGTAGTTAGTGSTTTCCTTACCAGACAATGCCAATTTAGAGACAAGGAGACGGGGGACATTTGGAAACTATCTGCCAAAAAGTATAAAACCATGCGAGAGGGTGGGTAAGATGTTTTTGGCAGAGTCTAGAGAAGCCTGGGAAATGTCTACATTTTCACTTTGGGGGCACGTAAACTAGGAAGAAGAGCTGTCAAAGTAAACTTGAGAAGTTAACAGGTTAAGCAAAAGAAAGAGTGAGCTTCAAAGGTTGTGTTTAAACACTGTCGAGAGGTCAATAAAGATTTCCTGATTCAATTATATTGAAAAACAATCCTGTGTCGGACGGAGCCTTCCGAGGAAGAATCTCTTCTAAATGGACCAATAACTCCCCTGCTCTGCTCTGGTACACACAATATGACTGGAAAAATTCACTGTGTCCTCCGTGATTTTTACACAGAACTGATCAAAGGTATCAGCCGAGGAACTTGACTCGTTGCAAAATCTTGTGAATGTGGATGCAGAGTTGTTGAAAACTGGATTGAAAATGTGGAAAGTCTCAGAGATACATCAAAGTTATTTACTAATTGTTACAAACCTATAACTCAGGAGAGTAATATAAGGAGGAAAGGAAGTTGTAGGAAAAATTGAGCAAACACAAGCCTTTTCCTAAGGCAGAAAAAGTGATCAAATAGAGATGATGAGCACCCATGAAAGACATTAAGCTCCTTTCCCCATGGTGACATTGGATTTGTTTTTGCAAATGTCTATACCAGGTAGGTGAAAGCTACATTCCAGCTATAACTTTCTGAAAGGCAGGAAATTGAAAAGATTGCAGAAAATACTATCAGAAGTCTGCCCAGCACTGGGCAAAGGGGGAGAGTAGTATGATTCATTGTGGGTACAGTCAACAGGCCTGTCTTGGCCACATCCCAGGCTCAGTCCATGTACTGGCCAGAGAGCCAGGAGTAAGAATCCAGAACCTGCCCCATAGTTTTTGAAGGCTAACGTAAGAAAACAAAAATATTATTAATGTCAGTGAGTCAAGTGAATGGATTTTAGAGACCAAAGTCACCCAGGAATTTTCAGTGTCTGTGTACTTAATGTTTTACCTAAATATACTTTCCATTAATGTAACTTTGCAGTTCTGAGCAGTTCTGAGTCCTTTTCGCACATTTCCTGTGTTCTTTGGAGTTCTGGGGATAGTCTACTTGGTGATCATAGGCTACTAAATAACTTAAGGTAGACCTAAGAGGTGTCAGTGAATGGACACAGAGTTTTTCTGATTGGCTTTCTTCTCTTTATTTATATGTGTCCTTTAATTTTTTTTTTTTTTTACTTATTTATGTCTCCTTAAAGTGAGAAAGAAATTTATGGAGGTTTCCAGTGAGTTAGGTGATAGTTCACCAAGGTTAACTTTTTATATGTACATCAAATGTTTTCCTTATTTCATTTTTTTAACTTTAAGAAATCTTATTAGCGTTATTAAGGGATAATTGACATATACATGCACTATTTGAAGTGTCCGGTTTGATAAGTTTTCACACACCCACACACACACATGCATACACACACACACACACACACACACACACACCATTACTGAATGAAGATAATGATCCCCTTATGTTTTTTGACACGCCTTTGGATTCCCCCGCTCTAGTCCCTCTTTGTTGTTGGGCAATCATTGATTTGCTTTCTTCATTTTGGATTAATCTGCAGTTTCTGGAACTTAATATAAATGCATATATAAAGTATACACTCGGCTTTTTGTTTGATTTACTCCACTAAGTTTAATTATTTTCATACTCTTCCATGTTATTGTACATATAATACTTCACTCTTTTATTGCTGATTAAGTACTCCATTATATGGATGTATCACCATTTATTTATCCTTTCACTCAGAATATTCTTTAATCAGTGTAGGTCTTTTAAGTTATTTATTTCTTCTTGAACAACCTTTGGTGCTTTGTGTCTTTCAAGGAATTAGTTCAGTTCATTAAAGTTGTTAAATATATCAGCATAAAAGTTGTTCATAATAATTCCTTATCCTTTTATTATATGTAGAAACCATAGTTTTTCATCACTGATATTTGTAAATTTTACCTTTTTCATCACTGATATTTGTAAATTTTATCTTCCCTTTATTCCTAACCTAAGAGAAGACAGAATTTCTAGCTAGAACTTTATGAACCTCTAGCTAAACCAGATTTTGGTTTCATTAAATGTTCTCTATTGCTTTTCTGGG